TTTTAACAATTGTAGTCGTAATTCTTAGATTTTTATCTATACTTATATAATCATATTGTATCTTATTTGTCGAATCCGTCTTAATCTATGGGCCTGGAATGGTAGAGCTATGCGTCTGGGCAGCTGTTGACGTTGTTATGATCATCGTGAGTTACTTTTTTGTGATAAATAAAATACTAATAAAGGGACGGTTAGGAATACGTTTGCTCCTTGCACTGAAAGTACAACATTATGGTTTTAAACTAGCCAATAACTCATCTCCACGATTACAATGGAGTTGTTTGTAGTAATAGCGTCTACCTTGCCTCTCTCTCCCGCTACTCTCTCCTTCCATCCATATCTATCCCTCCTTGCTCCAATCCTTCTCCCTCCAATCTCCTGATTCTGGCCTCCTCAACCCTCCTCTCCTCCCTTTCTTCGCATCCTTTGAATCTCTATGTCCCCTACTCCTTCCAGCCGGCTCGGTCCTCCCTCCAGCTCCGTGGCTTGATGACTCATTGCGAGCTCACAGAACAGGGCTCCAGGCAGCCGAGCGGAAATGGAGGGAAAACTAGAATCCCTGCGGACCTGGCATCTTTCACTCCCTCCTCTCTACATTTTCTTCATCTGTTTCTGCTGCTAAGGCCACTTTCCATCACTCTAAATTCCAAGCATCTGCCTCTAACCCTAGGAAGCTCTTTGCCACCTTCTCCTCCCTGCTGAATCCTCCTCCCCCTCCCCCCACTCCTCCCTCTCTGTGGATGACTTCGTCAACCATTTTGAAAAGAAGGTTGACGACATCCGATCCTCGTTTGTTAAGTCAAATGACACTGCTGGTCCTGCTCACACTGCCCTACCCTATGCTTTGACTTCTTTCTCCCCTCTCTCTCCAGATAAAATCTTGCGACTTGTGACGGCCGGCCGCCCAACAAGCTGCCCGCTTGACCCTATCCCCTCCTCTCTTCTCCAGACCATCTCCGGTGACCTTCTCCCTTACCTCACCTCGCTGATCAACTCATCCTTGACCGCTGGCTATGTCCCTACCGTCTTCAAGAGAGCGAGAGTTGCACCCCTTCTCAAAAAACCAACACTCGATCACTCTGTCAACAACTACAGACCAGTATCCCTTCTTTCTTTTCTCTCCAAAACTATTGAGCGTGCCGTCTTTAGCCAACTCTCTTGCTATCTCTCTCTCTCAGAATAACCTTCTTGATCCAAACCAGTCAGGTTTCAAGACTGGTCATTCAACTGAGACTGCTCTTCTCTGTGTCACGGAGGCTCTCCGCACTGCTAAAGCTAACTCTCTCTCCTCTGCTCTTGTCCTTCTAGACCTGTCTGCTGCCTTTGATACTGTGAACCATCAGATCCTCCTCTCCACCCTCTCCGAGCTGGGCATCTCCGGCGCGGCTCACTCTTGGATTGCGTCCTACCTGACCGGTCGCTCCTACCAAGTGGCGTGGCGAGAAGCTGTCTCCGCAACACGTGCTCTCACCACTGGTGTCCCCCAGGGCTCAGTTCTAGGCCCTCTCCTATTCTCGCTATACACCAAGTCACTTGGCTCTGTCATATCCTCACATGGCCTCTCCTATCATTGCTATGCAGACGACACACAACTAATCTTCTCCTTTCCCCCTTCTGATAACCAGGTGGCGAATCGCATCTCTGCATGTCTGGCAGACATATCAGTATGGATGACGGATCACCACCTCAAGCTGAACCTTGGCAAGACGGAGCTGCTCTTCCTACCGGGGAAGGACTGCCCGTTCCATGATCTCGCCATCACGGTTGACAACTCCGTTGTGTCCTCCTCCCAGAGTGCGAAGAGCCTTGGCGTGACCCTGGACAACACCCTGTCGTTCTCCGCTAACATCAAGGCGGTGACCCGATCCTGTAGGTTCATGCTCTACAACATTCGGAGAGTACGACCCTGCCTTACACAGGAAGCGTAAGAATTATTATTTTTTTTATAATAATTGTAAAGTGGTTATCCCACTGGCTATAAGGTGAATGCACCAATTTGTAAGTAGCTCTGGATAAGAGCGTCTGCTAAATGACGTAAATGTAAATGTGTAGCGATGAGTGTGGGCTGACCGCACCGGTCAGTCGATACTTGTAAAAATTTCCATTTTTTATGCCTACCTTGTACCTATATTTGTCCTGTGTATCCCCGTTTTATTCCTTTGGGGATACAAGCCGTTGTTCTTGATAAAAGTAGCGTTTTACAGGACCTCTGCCAAGGGAGCTGTTGTTCGTTAAAATCCTTAAGAGTCTATTACCACACCTGTGCGTCAATCGACGTAATATATATATTTTTTAATCCCCATCAAAATCCATAAATTTAAACTAGAGATAACTGTTTTTTTTGCATAGGCTGCGTCTCAATCCACCGCATTCAGCTATCCGCATCTGCGGTGGAAGGTGGCCGAACTACAGCAGTTTTTGTCAGACCATGATACATCCCAAAAATAGGTCTTCTCACGAAAACATATGTAGAGTCCGAACGGTTTGGCCTACAAACTATGACCACTCTATGGAAAGATGAGACTCGCACGAACACAATGGTGTTCCCCGTTTTGCTATACAGGTGTTCCCCGATTTGCTCTACGGTGTTCTCCATTTTGCTCTATGACCCCCACAAGTGTCACAGGACTTGTCTGAAGTTGGTAATACTGATGTTCCAACTTCTGTCTGTAGTGTCTGAACCGTTTGGGGCTACTTAAAGGGATCTTTAAATTCAGAGCAGCCCATCATTGCACGGCAGATTTTTTTTGTTGGCAGGGTCTGCTTTTATCAAAAACTACAGATGACTTCACCCAAATAAATTAACACAGTTACACAGGACCAACAAATGTACAACGTATGCATTAAAGAATCAAGATTGAAATAAATCAACAGTATCGACTGATAACGACTTGATGTCCACACTCGTCGCTGCTCAACTCCATTGTGGAGTTGAGTTTAGTCAGCTAGGTTAAAACCAAAGCTCCCGAGTGGCGCAGCGGTCTAAGGCACTGCATCTCAGTGCTTGAGGCACTGTTGGGAGTCCCATAGGGCGGCGCACAATTGGCCCAGCGTGATCCGGGTTTGGCCGGTGTAGGCCTTCATTGTAAATAAGAATTTGTTCTTAACTGACTTGCCTAGTTAAATAAAAATAAAAATAAATAAAAAAATAAAAAACCATCAAGTAAGTATTCACATCCTTGAGTCAAATTGTGTGGAAGCAGAAGCACCCCTAGTCAAAAGATCCTAGGATTTTCACATGATAAGTACTTCTTATCTACTTATCACATGACCAATAACACAAATTAAACAACAGGCGAAACTGGTTTGAAGATGAACAAAGACTTTATTACATCCCATTACAAATAGTCCTCATTTGCTCAACGTTGTTGCTCATTCCTGGCAATACACTAATCTAACAACTCTGATGTGATGATAGGAACATCAATAAGAAAAACATTATTCACAGTAGCCTATACCTTCTTTACAAGGCAAGATACAATTAAACATTACCCAAAACAAACCAAATGATATAAACACACTTCCAGAGAATTACTATACATACAACACATTTTATGATGAAAATAAATGATATTCCAATTGGAAAAGATTTTGTCTTATATTTACCTTCAGAATCCATAGAAAGCAAATAATGACAGGGTTCAATCTTTAAATACAGGTTCAATTAACCCAATAGAGCCACTAATAACACAACACAAAATGATCTGCATCCACATGTACACATGCTCATGTGCACAAGTCTCTTGAGTTCTTCTAGAGATGAATTCTCACACTGTTGTAAAACAGTATTTTAATTTGTCAATTTTTAAATCAGTCATTTATTAAAATATTTTTCTCGCCCGACCCCTTGTCATATAATTAATTGTCAACTGCTGTCCGAAACTCAATATCTTCTTTCCATGTACCACCTTCCACAACCTACTACAAACGGTACACGTTTATTCCTGAAATTCCATCTTTGTTGATTCCATTACACACTCACCTGGGAATCCCAGATGTTTCCACATTTACTTCACTTCCTGTAATTGAGAGAGGATCAGGATGAGCCTTATGTGTGTAAACTAACAAAACAGACAATGGGAGAAATCCAAAGACCTAATTCAAAATTCACTAATACATCAAACATAATGTCATCATATTATATCGTAATCCATGGGCTGGAGTTTTAACTAGGGGGATACAGCTTGAGATAAAAACATTTTTGGGCAAGACAATGTTAGCTGGGAAATATCCACAGATACATTGTAGTTACATGTAACTACAAAATATGTCTGACAACATTTATGAAAGTGCAATTACCTTCTCTTGTGAGTTAGCATCATCGGGCCCTATAAAAGCAAGAAAAGGTCAAGCCTTAGATTGACACACAAGATCCAAATTCATTCTTTGGATGGACACAGTAGCTTTACGGCTTCAAAATCTTACATTACATTAGTGCAGTTTTTGTGTATCTTAGTTCAAACTGATTGTAGATACCAGAGCTAAATGTCCAGGAGACGACCTTGATCAAACCATATGTCCCCAGGGCCACAGCAACCATCGCCATAGAGTCCTCAATGGAGGGAGCACTGACACCTGATTGGGGTGAAGAGATAGGGAGTAAATTTTAAACATACTCAGGGTCAGTTGTGTTGTATCAAGTCTAAATTATTTGACTTTTCAGATCACTGTAATTGCATATCAGAAATGATACTAGTAGGCTTAGAGACACTGCCCTTAACCACAGATCTAGGATCAGATTACCTTACCCCAATCCTAACGTTTACCTTCACAGGGATAGAAATATCTGGCTCTGAATCAGTGGATAGGGGCAACATCCATCAACTCAATGCAGCTCTATTAAATTCTCTCACCGGTGACATTGAGGGTGACGCTGGCCCGCCGGGTGCCTCCAGGGTGGACCGCCACACAGGTGACCTCCCCGCCGCGGCCCAGGTCCAGCTTGGCTGAGTCCAACTCCAGACGGCTGGTCTGGCTGTAAGTGCTGTCTGGGCCCTGTCTGTGGCCCGTCACGCTTCCCTGACTCAGGGGCCTGACCCTACCATCTGGCCCTGTTAACTCCCAGCGGAACTCCATGGAGAGGGGGGAGAATCCTGACGCCTCGCACTGCACCGTCACCACCTGTCCGGGCACGGAGAGAGGGAGCGGGGAGGGGAAGATGGAGAGGGACGGAGGCTCTGGGAGAGATAGAGGGAGAAAGAGGAGGGAGAGAATTAGTTAAGATAGGATAATACACACTTATGGCATATAATCTAATGCCATTTAGTTGACCATGATATACCATTATAAGAATGTACTGTATATGGTGTTACACTAGTTGTTTCAGTGAATAAACATGTAAATACATAGGGGCTGAGATTCTACCAAACAGATCTAAAACAAACATTGCAATGCTTTAGTATTGGCAGACTAATCAAGCATATTCATCTCTCCTCACCTACAATCTCCAGCTCCACTACCACCTGAGCCAGGAGATAGGGCAAGTACACCGTGCAGATGTAGGTTCCTGAGTGGCGCACTTGAGCTTCCTGCAGGATCAGTGATGCATTTCCTGTCTCGTGCAGAGCCGTGAAGTCTAGCCCCGCTCCCTCTTCCTGGGTCTCGGCAAATCGGTCACTCTTGCCGTCGTAGGCCAGGACCAGACGTCCATCGCCCCTGAACTGGTAGCGCCACTCCACGGCGAAGCCAGAGCCAGAGAGAGGAGAAGAGGCCTCCACCCAGAACCCACAGTCTAGAACCACTGGTTCCCCGAGTCTGGAACGGATCATGGAGGTTCTACTGGACACACTGAGCACCACTGGGAGAGAGAGAGGGGTAGGAGAGAGACGTTACACTTTAATACTACTTTACCTGTGACATTACGTGGTAATAAACATCACTGGTTGCTATACTTCTTCATGGTGTATGACAAATTCATTTAAATTATGGTTAATAATAAGTCACTATCACTGTGGTGTTGGTAACACCATGTCATTTTGATTAGAAGTCCATTTTTATCACTTATAATGGTTAAATATGACAATCTGTCTGTTGTTTACAACCCTTGCTCAAGAAGAATTTCATTCCTTTTCAGTCATACCATTGGGTTCCTTGGTTGCTGTGGGAGCACGCATGACATTGGAGAGGCCCAGTTGTCCGTCAAGGCCCTGCAAGGCAGCAGAGTACCAGTCGGCTTGCAGGTAGATAGGACTGTGGGCAGAGTCCGTGAGTGGGACTGTCCATTGGACGGTGGATGGCTGGGGCATGAAGGGGTTGATCTCGCACTGTGGCTTCTGGACTGAGCCCTCTGGTGGGTGCAGAGAAGAACTGCAGAGGGTAGCTGCTGGGTCTGAGGAGAGAGGGGGAGATTTGTCTATAGAAGTTATCCTTTCAATGAAATAACATTTATTTTTCTGAAAAGCTCTGTCTAAAATGGCAACGCTCTTGTAGCCTTGTATAATTGAAATTAGAGGCTTGGTGTCACACCAAATTGACTGACTGCACCTTTAACAGCCACTGGTTTGTCACTCAAATCAGTCATAATTTCTAAAGAGATTGTCCTATTTAATATACACTGCTCAAAAAAATAAAGGGAACACTAAAATAACACATCCTAGATCTGAATGAATGAAATAATCTTATTAAATACTTTTTTCTTTACATAGTTGAATGTGCTGACAACAAAATCACACAAAAATGATCAATGGAAATCAAATGTATCAACCCATGGAGGTCTGGATTTGGAATCACCCTCAAAATTTAAGTGGAAAACCACACTACAGGCTGATCCAACTTTGATGTAATGTCCTTAAAACAAGTCAAAATGAGGCTCAGTAGTGTGTGTGGCCTCCACGTGCCTGTATGACCTCCCTACAACGCCTGGGCATGCTCCTGATGAGGTGGCGGATGGTCTCCTGAGGGATCTCCTCCCAGACCTGGACTAAAGCATCAGCCAACTCCTGGACAGTCTGTGGTGCAACGTGGCGTTGGTGGATGGAGCGAGACATGATGTCCCAGATGTGCTCAATTGGATTCAGGTCTGGGGAACGGGCGGGCCAGTCCATAGCATCAATGCCTTCCTCTTGCAGGAACTGCTGACACACTCCAGCCACATGAGGTCTAGCATTGTCTTGCATTAGGAGGAACCCAGGGCCAACCGCACCAGCATATGGTCTCACAAGGGGTCTGAGGATCTCATCTCGGTACCTAATGGCAGTCAGGCTACCTCTGGCGAGCACATGGAGGGTTGTGCGGCCCCCCCAAAGAAATGCCACCCCACACCATGACTGACCCACGCCAAACCGGTCATGCTGGAGGATGTTGCAGGCAGCAGAACGTTCTCCACGGCGTCTCCAGACTCTGTCACATCTGTCACATGTGCTCGAGCCCTCATACCACCCTCATGGAGTCTGTTTCTGACCGTTTGAGCAGACACATGCACATTTGTGGCCTGCTGGAGGTCATTTTGCAGGGCTCTGGCAGTGCTCCTCCTGCTCCTCCTTGCACAAAGGCGGAGGTAGCAGTCCTGCTGCTGGGTTGTTGCCCTCCTACGGCCTCCTCCACGTCTCCTGATGTACTGGCCTGTCTCCTGGTAGCGCCTCCATGCTCTGGACACTACGCTGACAGACACAGCAAACCTTCTTACCACAGCTCGCATTGATGTGCCATCCTGGATGTGCTGCACTACCTGAGCCACTTGTGTGGGTTGTAGACTCTGTCTCATGCTACCACTAGAGTGAAAGCACCGCCAGCATTCAAAAGTGACCAAAACATCAGCCAGGAAGCATAGGAACTGAGAAGTGGTCTGTGGTCACCACCTGCAAAACCAGTCCTTTATTGGGGGTGTCTTGCTAATTGCCTATAATTTCCACCTGTTGTCTATTCCATTTGCACAACAGCATGTGAAATGTATTGTCAATCAGTGTTGCTTCCTAAGTGGACAGTTTGATTTCACTGAAGTGTGATTGACTTGGAGTTACATTGTGTTGTTTAAGTGTTCCCTTTATTTTTTTGAGCAGTGTATAATGATAAGTACTGACCAGTGACGTAGTAGACTCTATCATGGTCTGTAGATCGTCCCTGCTTTGACCTGGTTTCTTCACTGTCTGGGTCTGTATTGATGTAAAGTAGTGTCTTCTCCTGGCTCATAGCAGCATGGAAGCCCCCACCTCTACCTGGTTTCTCCTGGACAAACCAGCACTCCAGAACTGGACAACTTGTTCCATAGACTGGATGAGAGAGTTGTGTGAATGTGTGAGGCCGACCAATGTGGGTATGTGAAAAAACAGAATTAAATAGAACAACACTGTATTTCTATGGGTGAAAATATGTAGACTACTGTAGAATATGGATGGATATGAAAAGGCAATCATAATAGAAACGAGTTATTGACTAATGATACATGCTTAGCATTAAGACCTTGAAAAAAACTCTAAATCTCGATACAAATTCATGTAAATGAATATGCCAGCGTTATGTAGGGCTGTTTTCCACGTGTACATTTTCTACAAGGTATATATTATGAAAGTATATATTCTTAAATCAGCAGTTAAACCAATAACAAAGCGATATCCCCACCCGTTTCGGTAAAAAGCGGGGGAATGGGGCTGGAGAAATGCGACCACTCTCAAATTCAAAGACAGAGCTATGGATGCAAGGCCTGACCATCCATGATATCAAAATGATAGTTTTTTGGGCGGGGCTATACAGTGTTTGTTTACATTTATTTTGTTTACAAACACTGGATTAAAACAAATTTATATTTTGTGTTCTGATGGGATACGACAGTTGAACTAAGCTCATGGTCCATTTATAAGTTATATTCTTCAAGAATCAATGGGTGTAGGATGTAGCTACTGCTGATTGTCCTTTAACTCAACAAAGTTATTTTTAACTGCGCAACTATATGCATTGTAATTAGCTACAAACTAAGGTTAATCAATTTGTAAGTCGCTCTGGATAAGAGCGTCTGCTAAATGACGTAAATGTAAAATTGAGTATACAGTAGAACAGTAACAGTGCTACAACTTTCGTCAAATCCACCACTAAATCAAATGTGCAGTAAGAAAGGCTGACCAATTTACCGTGCATGAAGTAAGTAAAGGCGAGAAAGGATAGCTTATATATTGTTGATATATTGGCCATGTTAGTTTTCGACAGTGTCCTCGACTATTCTGTAGTCTGATGGATGAGAAAAAATATGGAGCAATATGTTCCCTGTAATTCCCCACAGCAAACTCTACTTTCACTTGCATTTTGCAGACAGACACTGACATGCGCATAGCCAGGCGAGGCAGAGCACAATGGTATACAGTAAAACCAAAGACAGTCCAGTATGTAGGTTTAGAAACTACGGAAGAGTATTGGGGCCAAGTGAAGAGAAAAAAAAAAAAGGAGTGGTGGATTATTATTTTTTGCAATATAGTACTTAAAAATAAAGTGCCAATATTTAAACTTCGAGAATAAAGTCGAAATTACATTTCGAGAATAAAGTGGCAATATTTCGAGAATAAACTCGAAATTTAATTTCGTGAATAAAGTCAAAATGGTTAGAATAAAGTTGCAGTTATATTTCAAGATTAATGTACGGGATTTGGTTAAATGCATGTCTCCCTGGCTGCCTTTTGCTGTGCGCGCCACCGTTGAAATGCCTGAGGTTGGCTCTTTTAGCACATAATAACCATATTATTAAAAGTAGGCCTATTAGGACCTGAAAGAGGTTGTGAAGAAAGAAAGAAACTAAGTCAATACACTGATTTTATGAGGGAGAAATGCACAAACTCAGAGAGCTCGTGCACACATTGCAGAATGCACATTCAACACAAGATGGCGCTCCAACACTACAACGCTCACCAGAATGGTCAAAATCACCTGATTTCTTTGAAACAAGGATTTAGTTCATCTGAGGACAACAAGCGGAACAAGACATAGCTCAAACTCAGAGAGCTCGTGCACACATTGCAGAATGCACATTCAACACAAGATGGCGCTCCAACACTACAACGCTCACCAGAATGGTCAAGATCACCTGATTTATTTGAAACAAGGATTTAAGTCATCTGAGGACAACAAGCGGAACAAGACATAGCTCAAACTCAGAGAGCTCGTGCACACATTGCTCAGAGAGCTCGTGCACCCCCCCCCCCCCACACACACACAGATTTGTGATGACAGGCAACTTCTACTTTGAGCATGACCGAGACCGAGTAGGGTGAAGTTGCCTTAAAACTCTGATCTTGGGTCAGTTTAGAATCTTCCCCACAAATGGTTACGATTAAGGGCGAGGAGAAGCTGATCCTAGATCTGTACCTTGGGGAAACTTTTCCAAGGAGCGACAGAGACAACCAAAAGTCAACCGAGGTGCTATTTATTAACTGAACTTGATTTGGTTATCCCCATCACACACATACCAGAACACACTATGGGAGTGGCAAGAATTCCAGAACACATTTTAATTGGGGAGAAAATATGACAAAATATGACCAAAGATGACTTAGTTGGATGTGTAGGCCTGTTACTGTAGTTATGGTAAAATAGTTTTCAGCTAGTATCCACTGGCACTGTTTTAGTTCTTTCAGTAGGCTATAGTCGTTGTGAGACAAAAATACTTTTTAAATGAAAATAATGTGTCAATGTAATAGTCCGACATCCCACACAGCAGTTTGGATATGAAAAACCATGTGTAGGCTACTAGAACTAGATGATGTGTCAGTGTGTCGACCATCTCATGATTAAGGGTAGATACAGTTGAAGTCGGAAGTTTACATATACTTAGGTTGGAGTCATTAAAACTCGTTTTTCAACCACTCCACACATTTCTTGTTAACAAACTATAGTTTTGGCAAGTCGGTTAGGACATCTACTTTGTGCATGACACAAGTAACTTTTCCAACAATTGTTTACAGACAGATTATTTAACTTATAATTCACTGTATTACAATTCCAGTGGGTCAGAAGTTTACATACACTAAGTTGACTGTGCCTTTAAACAGCTTGGAAAATTCCAGAAAAGTTTGCCATGGCTTTAGAAGCTTCTGATAGGCTAATTGACATCATTTGAGTCAATTGGAGGTGTACCTGTGGATGTATTTCAAGGCCTACCTTCAAACTCAGTGCCGCTTTGCTTGACATCATGGGAAAATCAAAAGAAATCAGCCAAGACCTCAGAACATAAATTGTAGACCTCCACAAGTCTGGTTCATCCTTGGGAGCAATTTCCATACGCCTAAAGGTACCACGTTCATCTGTACGAACAATAGTATGCAAGTATAAACACCATGGGACCACCCAGCCGCCATACCGCTCTGGAAGGAGACGCGTTCTGTCTCCTAGAGATAAACGCACTTTGGTGCGAAAAGTGCAAATCAATCCCAGAACAACAGCAAAGGACCTTGTGAAAATGCTGGAGGAAACGGGTACAAAAGTATCTATATCCACAGTAAAACGAGTCCTATATCGAAATAACCTGAAAGGCCGCTCAGCAAGGAAGAAGCCACTGCTCCAAAACCGCCATAAAAAAGCCAGACTACGGTTTGCAACTGCACATGGGGACAAAGATTGTACTTTTTGGAGAAATATCCTCTGGTCTGATGAAACAAAAATAGAACTGTTTGGCCATAATGACCATCGTTATGTTTGGAGGAAAAAGGGGGATGCTTGCAAGCCGAAGAACACCATCCCAACCCTGAAGCATGGGGGTGGCAGCATCATGCTGTGGGGGTGCTTTGCTACAGGAGGGCCTGGTGCACTTCACAAAATAGATGGCATCATGAAAGAAAATTATGTGGATATATTGAAGCAACATCTCAAGACAGGAAGTTAAAGCTTGGTCGCAAATGGGTCTTCCAAATGGACAATGACCCCAAGCATACTTCCAAAGTTGTGGCAAAATGGCTTAAGGACAACAAAGTCAAGGTATTGGAGTGGCCATCACAAAGCCCTGACCTCAATCCTATAGAAAATGTGTGGGCAGAACTGAAAAAGCGTGTGCGAGCAAGGAGGCCTACAAACCTAACTCAGTTACACCAGCTCTGTCAGGAGGAATGGGCCAAAATTCACCCAACTTATTGTGGGAAGCTTGTGGAAGGCTACCCGAAACGTTTGACCCAAGTTAAACAATTTAAAGGCAATGCTACCAAATACTTATTGAGTGCATGTAAACTTCTGACCCACTGGGAATGTGATGAAATAAATAAAATCTGAAATAAATCATTCTCTCTACTATTATTCTGACATTTCACATTCTTAAAATAAAGTGGTGATCCTAACTGACCTAAGACAGGGACTTTTTACTAGGACTAAATGTCAGGAATTGTGAAAAACTGAGTTTAAATGTATTTGGCTAAGGTGTATGTAAACTTCCGACTTCAACTGCAGACAAAAGATGGCTGCATACTGACGCTCTTACAGGAAATGGTGTAGGACTTACCTCAACAGTGTTTGACTCCACCCTCCTCTGTATGTGTGTGTGTGTGTGTGTGTGTGTGTGTGTGTGTGTGTGTGCATGGTACTTCCCATTATATTTCTATGCTGTATTATTTTATTGCTGTGTTTTTCAATGTGATGATATAAAACAACTTAATATCAAATGGAGACGATTCACCTACTTCAATGGGTCACATCCAGTATGCCAAATAAAGCTCCATAGACCTTAGCCTGAGATAGCTCAATTGTGTCACCCTCCCAAACCACAAGCCCTCTGAGAATACTATAGGAAGAATACAATGTTTCTCCTCTTTCACATCAAAGTAATCCTCCTTCCATGATGCTCCTGTACTTCCCGCGTCTGAGTGATTGAAGCGGGGAGAACAGGGCATGGCTTGGGTGGCTGGGGTCCCTGATGATTTTCTTGACCTTCCTGCGACACCTGGTGTTGTAGGTGTCCTGTAGGGCAGAAAGTGTGCACCCAATGGTGCGTTCTGCTGCACGTATCACCCTCTGTAGAGCCTTGCGGTCCGCGGGGGTGGAGTTGCCGTACCAGGCTGTGATGGAACCCGACAGTATGCTCTCGATGGTGCTCCTGTAGAACACTGTGAGGGTCTTCGGGGACAGGCCAAATATCTTTAACATTCTGAGGTTGCCTTCTTCACCACGGTGTCCGAATGGTTAGACCATTTCAGCTTTTTTGAGATCGCGGCCATGTTGATGAGAATGGGGGCATGTCCAGCCTGGTTCCTCCTGAAGTCCACAATCAGCTCCTGTCACACCCTGATCTGTTTCACCTGTC